ACTGGGGAATTTAAAAACGGAGGTTGCTAACAAGTGTCTCAATGAGACGACTAACCGTCATCACGCCCAACATTAGCCGCCTTTAGCTTAGCGGTGGTGACCTGTAGTCATGTGACCGTGCTGTGGTTCCTTTAATAGCCCAACATAGCCTCCTTTAGCTCAGCGGTGGTGACATGAAGTCATGTGACCGTGCTGTATTTCCTTTATAGCCCAACATTAGCCTCCTTTAGCTTAGCGGTGGTGACGTGAAGTCATGTGACCGTGCTGTATTTCCTTTATAGCCCAACATTAGCCACCTTTAGCTTAGCGGTGGTGACGTGAAGTCATGTGACCGTGCCGTAGTTCCTTTATAGCCCAACATTAGCCACCTTTAGCTTAGCGGTGGTGACGTGAAGTCATGTGACCGTGCTGTAGTTCCTTTATAGTCCAACATTAGCCACCTTTAGCTTAGCGGTGGTGACGTGAAGTCATGTGACCGTGCCGTAGTTCCTTTATAGCCCAACATTAGCCACCTTTAGCTTAGCGTTGGTGACGTGAAGTCATATGACCATGCTGTAGTTCCTTTATAGCCCAACATTAGCCACCTTTAGCTTAGCGGTGGTGACGTGAAGTCATGTGACCGTGCCGTAGTTCCTTTATAGCCCAACATTAGCCACCTTTAGCTTTAGCGGTGGGTGACGTGAAGTCATGTGACCGTGCTGTAGTTCTTTTATAGCCCAACATTAGCCGCCTTTAGCTTAGCGGTGGTGACGTGAAGTCATGTGACCGTGCTGTATTTCCTTTATAGCCCAACATTAGCCGCCTTTAGCTTAGCGGGGGTGACGTGAAGTCATGTGACCGTGCTGTAGTTCCTTTTATAGCCCACCATTAGCCACCTTTAGCTTAGCGGTGGTGACGTGAAGTCATGTGACCGTGCTGTGGTTCCTTTATAGCCCAACATTAGCCACCTTTAGCTTAGCGGTGGTGACGTGAAGTCATGTGACCGTGCTGTGGTTCCTTTATAGCCCAACATTAGCTTGTTACTTCAGAAATCATAAAGTGTCGTAGTATGTGGAGATTATCCTGCTAAATTAAGTATCATAAATAATGACATTATTTATTTTTATATCCTATTGGCTTTTTGTGGAGGGAACCAGATAGATGCTGCCTTCAGGGTCCAGAAATATATCATCCTTGCACATTTTTTGAAGCTTTTAAATGTTTTCTTTACCCATGAAGGGGGATGCAGGGACGGTCAGGGGTCGGGGGGGAGAGTAGGAGGGAGTGGACTGCAGCAGGGTCATGTTGGAGGGAAACAGCAGCTCGCAGCGATTGTTCTCACAGAAGAGGACGGACAGGAAGACGCCCGCCGTGCTGCTCTCATCGAACGAGGCGGCCATCCTCTGAAACATGGGGTCCACCTGGGGGGGGGGGGAGGGGGAGAGAGAGATGTATAGATGTCACATGAAAACAGCTGCAAGGTCAAAACATATTATATATATTGCACTCAAACATAGTCCAGAGTCAAATGTCCATCACAAACTTAAGGGAACACAACGCGATTACAGGAGACCGAATAAAACCCACCGTTACTAATATATACTTATATACTAGTAACCGTGTTTCCCCTATATACAAATAGTGGCGGCGCAGTGCCGCTGCTGAAATATGCGCGCCGCTGCTAGGGGGGCATTTATTTATTTTTTAACTTTTTTATTAAAATAATAATAAGTGGCGACCCTTTTTCATTTTTGATTGTTTGTTATGTGGATTTGTAGTATTTGTGTTACTGTCTGTTCAATAAAGGTGTATTTTTGCTAAATCTTGAGACATTGCCACTGTATGTACTGGCAGGGCCGATTTTTGGCATAGGTGACATAGGTGGTCGCCTAGGGCGCCAGATCTGGGGGGCGCTGCGGTGGTAGCTCTGGGAGGGAGAGAGGGCGCACCGGTACCGGCGCTGTTGTTATTAGAATCTGGTGCTAGCTGCGCTAACGGATATAAGAAGTAGATGTTTCTACAACCAGGGTGGAGGAGAGCTCTCCTGTCAGACTGAGAGGCTCAGTGAGGTAAAGGACTCTGAGGGTTTAGATAAGTTAATTTTTGTTTTTAAGTTATCTCAGTGGGTCTCAAACGTTTTGACCACAAATTATGTAAACACATATTTCCAAGGCACTCCTTTATAATTATTAGGATAAATAAAAACAGGTTTGAAATCATTCCAATGTATACTATAGGACAGTAAACCAAAAATATTGTTTAAAGTTGGAGGGATACAAAAATATGCACGAATAAATAAATGTTAACTAGGTCAAATAAGATATGAATGAACAACAAAAATACATGTATTTGTTATTGGCTATGGAAGTTTATTGGTTATGTTCACACTTATTTGATTATTAAAATGTAAACCGATCTTTTTCATATGGGTGTTTTAGAGTTGTACCCCCTAGATCAGGTCTCTAGTAATTGTGTGCTCAAAGTGCACCAGATTGAAGCATTTTACTTTAAAATGTTAAAACAAATCTTCCCGGGGGGGCATACCCCCGGTCCCCCCTAGAGGATGTGACGTCCACCCCCTAATTAAAACATGTTCATACAATACTGAATACATTTGAAGCCATTTTGACGTCTATTACCTATGTCAATACGTTTCTGTTTTTGTAGTGTATTTGTCTTTTGTAGAGATTTTTCATTTATTCTTTTATATATAAAATCTCGCCTAGGGCAGCAAATTGTCTAGAACCGGCCCTGGTAAAGACCTCAAGAGCCTTTCTTGTGCTGGCAGACACATAGAAACAAATTGGCGGGGCGCACTTCGCACACACAAAAAAATGGCACGCGCTCCGCTCTCACATTATGCTGAGCCCACGTGCCTTAGCACCGCTGCTATGACTCCATCCTAGGGGAAGCACTGCTAGTAAATATAGTATTTACTACCGTTATCCTGCAGCTACTATCCTACATTACTTTCCACTTCTTGCTTTATATGCTGCTAGCTTTTTCATACTTTAAACGGGAAGGTGTAATTATTATTAGATTTAAAATCGGAGTAATTCTTATTTAAATTATATATATCTCGAGGTAATGTAAGTACACAAATTAACAGAATATCTAACATACGTCTAGTCGGGTTTTTAAAATATGTTTTAATGCAGAATTATTACATATTATATGTTTAACTTTAGTAAAGGAACTACATTTTCAGCTCGAAACACAGGTTTAGTTCCTGAGTTCGAGCATAAAAACCTTTGATTTAATAGATTTTAAGAATTAGAAAATGGTAAATATTAAGATGAACTGTTAGGTTGATTCTGCCCAACTATCATCGTATTAGAAAAGGTGTTAAATATGTTCCTGTAAAGACGCCCCCGTACCTCACACTTCCTCTCAGACTCGGCGCTGTTGATGTTTGCCAGGTTTTGCTCCACAGTCTTCTTCGGGGGTCTCTTTTTCTTCGGCTGCTTCGTGGTCGCTTCACCATCTCCGTCGTTTTCATCATCTTTTGAACCCTGGTCTGTTCAGGCGTGAAAAAAAAATGTACACAAAAAATGTCAAATATTGGATTCTTTTGTAGGGAAATGGTCATAAATCCCGCATGCTATCTCCAGTGTGATTCAGTCTATTCAAATGTAATCCGACTAGGGCTGCACGATTTGGGGAAATAATCTAATTGCGATGTTTCTGACAGATATTGCGATTCGATTTGCGATATTTGTTTTTAAGCGACCCAACGGAAGCTTATTGTAAAATGCGGCCATATCTCCGGCTAGGAAGGTCGCATCAACGTGCTCCCGTCTCTAGCACCTCCGCAGCCCGAGCTACGAGTGAAAGAACTAAAGTTACATGAAGCTTCCGTTGGGTTGCTTTAAAGTCAAGCTTCAGTTTAAGATTCACCCTGTAATAGAAACATGTGATGGAGCATTACTAACCTGACTCAGAAACCATCTAGAGCTCCATTGGAAGCCATTTGGAAAGGGCAGGCACTTTCAAAAATACTTGGCAGGTGATTGGATCAATCTGTCCATCACCTTCTATCATGGGCCACTTCTGATTGGTTAACAATGGCTGGTACATGTGGAGCACAGCACTTCTGATTGGTGTGGATGACTGACACACAGAACAAAACAAAAATCCTGACTTAAAATCGATGAATCGTTCAGCCCTAAATCCGACAACGTATGAAAGTACACATTGGAGAGGGTCTCACCTTCTCCAGGTTTGGTCTCGGCCCCCAGACCCCCCAGGACCCTGTAGGCATCGGCATGAACAGCATCTACCCTCACAGCATAGATCTTAGTGCTGGCATCTAAAGTACCAGCGGCCACCTGCAGGAGGAAAGCACACAGAACACACAGGTCCATTTGAGTTTGTATAACACCATGTTCCTCAAGGGGCAATGCACACGACATAATGGGTGTCAAATAAAGAGGAAGGGGATTTTTGTGACAGTTGTTTTTAATTTAGAATAACAGTTTAGTAAAGAAATGTGCAATAAAATAATTACATTAAATCAAATGTAAAAAAACAACATAAGACGTTTAATAAAAGACTACAATTAAATTAAATAAGATATGTATTAAAACGTTCCAAGATATAAAATAAATATATATTTTGAAAACGTAAGAATTTGTAAAAATGTGCACATTGTATATAAGGTTAAAACTCAATTCAAATATATATGCAATAAAAAATAAGTATTTATACATTAATTCTGATAATGATTTTTCCATTGCCACGGCTCATAATCAGACTTTTGTAGGGTTTTTAATCTGCAGATTTTATCAAAGTAAGAAGATTTTTTTGTTTGTCGGATAACACACTCTTTAAGAAAGCGTCATTTAACACATGGCTGCTCTACTTCACTGCGTACCTTTAAAAAGGAGAATGAAAAACGATGATCAAAACACATATTGCTTTGTTCTACAGGCGATGCAAAGTCTTAGCTAAAACAGATACATGTTTTTCAACTTCAGGAAACAAGGGAGTTCTTATAAGAGTGGACACAAAAAATCAACTCATACCTTGAAGTTTGTGAGCTCAGAGTCCTTCTGTTTGAGAATATCAGCCATGTAATCAATCAGGTGCAGACCAAAGGCATTCTTGGTGGTGATTTTCTGCCAAAACAAGAAGAAAGAAATGCATAAGTATTTGATTGTTTCTTTCAAGTCTTACCACTATTACAGAAAGATAGATATCCAGTACATCTACGTTTAGCGATGCTCCGATACTCACTCTCTGCCGATCGATCGGGTAGGGCTGTGCAATTAATCGTATTTTAATCGCGATTACGATTATGGTTTGCGACGATTAGGAAAACAGCATAATTGACAAAATACGATTATTTTGCTGGGTGCGCTTTGCCCCTCCCTAAAAGCCCACTCGGCCACGTGGGAGTGACATGTGTTGTGAGTGTTCAGCGCAAGCGAAGATGTCAGAACAAGAGCAGCAACTCGTTAAAAAGAAGGGTCGCGAGGAGATTCCCAGTCGATCGCGAGATGTGTCTAAAAATAGAACAACAATATTCTGTTTTATCGTTAATGTCCTGTAACATAATGTTCCCGTGCCAGAATAATGCACTTGAACGCATCAAAGCTTTGTGATTGGCCGGCCTCACCCCATGTGTCCGGGCGTGGCTGGTGAGCAGTGCACTAGTTCGCTGACGTTGTCCGTGTCAACAGGAGTGACAGTCCGCACACACACAAGACCGCAATTATGGCAGAAGCAAAAAAGCCCAAAATATATAATTTTCACTCCGAGTGGGAGGATCATTATTTTTGTATCTATTCCAATTCAAAGTCCATCTGTCTCATCTGCAATGCGAGCGTGGCTTTATCGAAGAAGGGTAATTTAGGAGCGGCATTTCAAAACAGTGCACAAACGCTACGAGACGGATTTCCCTCCTATTCTGCCCTACGCTCCAAAAGGGGAGGGGCCTGAAAGGACAGCTAAATGCACAGCAGTCCATTTCCACCAGGCCCAACAACAAGAGCAAGGCTGCTACCATAGCATCTTATCGTGTCAGTCACGTTCTTGCGAAACACATGAAGTCTTTCAAAGACGGCGAAGTTATGAAAGAAGCTTTCCTGGAGGCTGCGACGCGCTTTTGTGGGACAGTAAAAATAACAGCAGCATTTCAACAGGTTTTTGATATAATAAAAACTCAAGTTAGATACCGTTATTAATCTGCTGTAAGTTTTAGTTTGTTTGAATTTATTCATGATAATTATTGTACAAAATGGTATAAGAATGCAAACATTAAGATCTGTTCTGTTTAAATTGATTATAGTCTATCAGTTCAGAAACTAGTGTTGCTTGCATCCTATTTTAAAGGCATTTCTTTTTATACTCTAATAAAATGCAACAAAAAATGGGTTTGATTCTATTAATGTTGTCTTTTTTATTGCACTGTTGCTGCAGCAGATTACTGTGTAGCTTCAGATCTGAGTTGTCTTATTAGTAAGCCTAATTTATACTTTTGTAGCAACACTATTTTTATATAATGGCAAAGAAAGGGTTCTTCAGAGTCTTTTCTTTTTTTCCTGTGTCATGTGGCAGCACTGCCACAAGTTCCTCTTCAGAGAGGGTCTTCAGTACAGGTGGCAATATTGTCACCTGCCTGCGCTCATCTCTGAAACCAGACCATGTAAACAGGCTGGTGTTTCTTGCAAAAAATATTTAAGAGATGACATGAGCAGCCCTACCAGCATTTGCCATGGTGGCCTAAACATTTTTATTTGGTCTTAAATTGTAGTTCAACATTTATTTCCTGTTACTTTTGGACCATGACGGTTGGCCAGCCTTCAACGTTTAACTGAGTGGAATATGTTGAATATGTTTTACCAAAATGTTGGCTATATGTTAAGGAGTGTTCAGTAGGTTGTGACAGTGCACTGCAACATGTTTGATTTCATTTATTTTTGGTCTAATTTATTTTTATTTATCATATTAATATATGTTTAGTATGGTTTTGGAAGTGTGCTCCAACATATTTGTTGATCTTGTTTATTGGTAAAATATTATTTGTTTTAAAGTTCAATAAATGGTCAATGAATAATCGTCAAAATAATCGTGATATCAATTATTGACCCAAATAATCGTGATTATGATTTTTGCCATAATCGCACAGCCCTACGATCGGGGCTCTCTAAAAATGCCTATCGCGAGAGCCGACGGTCACATGACGTAAAATACATGACACTTTTCTCTGTGCGCGCCAACACAAGCTCGCCAAAATGGCTTCACCGGTCTGGCAGTATTTCAAGGTGTCCGAAAAAGACAATAAAATAGCGGTATGCAACGTGTGTGAAGCAGAAACCCTGCAGCTCCGCCCGCTGTGACGGACCGGTGAGCGGAGCAACACACACTAAGAGTTAGACCTAACATACTTAGCTGTTAGATCTACCTCTGGAACAAGCTAAACTAGTTATACATATGTTTATTCTTCACTGTCGGGTCAGTCAGTACTGGATCAGTGAGCTGCATGAGACGCTTCCGCTCATCTCTCCCGTGTTATTCTCCAAAGTTAAAGTCAACTTGAATAATGTACTTCATTTGAATGTAATAATGATGTTGGTTGTGGAAGCGCCAGTGAATGAGCCCCATTGACCGAGTTTTAAACATCACTTTAAATGGAAGATCCCCATAGGCCCCGCCCACTCGATCGGATCGGCCGATACTGATTCCGGCGATCGGCCCCAAAATTGTCGATCGGAGCATCCCTATCTACGTTGTTCGGGATGTGTGTCATAATGGATCCCTTGTCTTTTACCTGCAAACCAAGTCTACCTACAGTATGGGTACAAATAAATAAATAACCTGATGCAGGGAAAATGTAAAACAAGTGTAATTATTGATACGCTTCAGTTGGACAATGTGTGAGACTCTTAATGATTTCCCTGTGATGCAGACATTATAAATATACGTTGTGCACATGTACTCACATTCTCAGTGGAGAGTTTTATGCAGGTGGAGTAATGCTCCGAGATCTGTGCGTTCGACAGCTTGGGCACGGCAGCAGGAGTCCCCGCGGCGCTGAATACAGAAATGAGATTATCTATAAACTTCCAAGATACATATTAGCAGAAGGGATTTTAAAGCCATGACTTTAAATGCTTTTATAACTCAAAGTCATGCTCCAATGACAGTCACAAGCATGCTTTGGAGTATCTAGATCTCTGCGGCTTTTGATGGCAAAAGTACACACATCCTTTACTCAAGTCAAAGTAAAGAGGCTTTGAAGTGTACTTCAGTAAAAAGTACCCATAACTAGCAGCTGCTTTAAAGAGTACCTGACCTCCCTTTATATTAATAGAACAATAATGTCATTGTTAGCTAATGAATGTTTCCATGCTGAACAACGGCAACATGACAACGTTTCCATTGGTCCCTCTTCTTAGAGAAGACCAGGAAATGATGGATACACGGATCGTGTTCAAATCAATAGGCACGCAATGACTCTAAAGAATAATGATCACGCACCAAACACACATTCAGACTAAAGGAACCAGCTGTTTGGAGAATGTGAGAAGTAGAAAGTACAGGTATTTGAGTTCAACATGTAAGAAGTAGAAAGTACAGGTATTTGAGTTCAACATGTAAGAAGTAGAAAGTACAGGTATTTGTGTTCAACATGTAAGAAGTAGAAAGTACAGGTATTTGTGTTCAACATGTAAGAAGTAGAAAGTACAGGTATTTGTGTTCAACATGGAAGAAGTAGAAAGTACAGGTATTTGTGTTCAACATGTAAGAAGTAGAAAGTACAGGTATTTGAGTTCAACATGGAAGAAGTAGAAAGTACAGGTATTTGAGTTCAACATGTAAGAAGTAGAAAGTACAGGTATTTGAGTTCAACATGTAAGAAGTAGAAAGTTCAGGTATTTGTGTTCAACATGTAAGAAGTAGAAAGTACAGGTATTTGAGTTCAACATGTAAGAAGTAGAAAGTACAGGTATTTGAGTTCAACATGTAAGAAGTAGAAAGTACAGGTATTTGAGTTCAACATGTAAGAAGTAGAAAGTACAGGTATTTGTGTTCAACATGTAAGAAGTAGAAAGTACAGGTATTTGAGTTCAACATGTAAGAAGTAGAAAGTACAGGTATTTGAGTTCAACATGTGAGAAGTAGAAAGTACAGGTATTTGAGTTCAACATGGAAGAAGTAGAAAGTACAGGTATTTGTGTTCAACATGTAAGAAGTAGAAAGTACAGGTATTTGAGTTCAACATGTAAGAAGTAGAAAGTACAGGTATTTGAGTTCAACATGTAAGAAGTAGAAAGTACAGGTATTTGAGTTCAACATGTAAGAAGTAAAAAGTACAGGTATTTGTGTTCAACATGTGAGAAGTAGAAAGTACAGGTATTTGTGTTCAACATGTGAGAAGTCAAAGTAAAAAGTCGTCAGAAAAGTAAGTAGTGGAGTAAAGTACTGATAGCAGAAACTTGTACTTAAGTACAGTAACAAAGTATTTGTACTCCACTACTTCCCACCTCTGGAGCTTACCTGTGAGATGCAGAGTCATTAAAGGAGGAGTCTGGGGCCGTTTGAAGGTCGATGACCCTTGACCTTCGTCTCTGTCGTCGCTCCTGCTCGTCATCGTTGCCGGGGAAGGATGTGAGCAGCGGAGTGCTGTAGTCCAACGGAGACATGCCCTTGTTCTTCAGGCCGGACGACATCCATCCCGGACGGATCCGAGACACCGGGCTGGAGGCTGCGCTCATCTTAGCTGAGAAACACAGAAAGGTCACACGTTGAAGCGTAACGTCCGAGTTTCAGCTTTGGGGGAAATAGTTAGGGAGGGTCATGTTTTGATATTTATTGAGATTCGAGGATCATTTAAATTGCGTTCAAATGCTGTACACGTTGTCCATTTATAATACACAATAATAAGACAACTGTAAGCAAGTACAAGCTTTATACAATTGGTTAAAAATAAAGTACGAAGCAGAATGAAAGTACTTTAATATCTCATCTGAGAAACACACATAAAGAGTTTTCCACTGGAGAGGCAATTCATGAATAAAACACATTTGAGTTTAGACCGTATTTCTTTGTGTTTTTGTTCCAGGTACTAGATTTGTATCTGTATGTATTTATCTAAGAAGGGACAATGCCCATTAATCAACATGAGCACTTGAGTCCATCATGTAAATGTGCCATGGACGCATTCATCTGCTGTCCCTGGGAGGTTTATGGCATTAAAATAAAACATACAAGAGCAGAATTACAACACGAGCAGAATTGAATCACGACTGCAGCACATATGCTCAGTTAAAAGCCCCTTTTTAAAAACCCATAACAGACAAAAAAGCCCATAAGCAAAGATAAAAGCCAACATGCACAGACGGTATGAAACAATGATAAGTATGTCTAGGCTCCTGTAGTGTAAGCATATATTCCTGCTACTAACTGCGGTATTTTTGACTTTTTTTAGAACATTTTAATTATCCAGAAAGGTTATACTGTTTATATTTGATATCATATTTTACATTGTTGTTGTTCTCTGTTCCACTTTGTAAGTATTAGTAGGAGTCTGAACACACTGATACTTCTTCTGTAACAAAATAATTTCCCAAATGTTGATCAATAATCTATCTAACTATCTAAGACCCTTACTCCATTGTTCCTTAGTTGCGGGTACAGTGCTCCAGGAACCTCTTTATGGAGTAATAGTATGTGGAGTAGGTCGTTTTTATCCAGTGTTTTCAGAGCCTCATGATCACACGGATGTTAATGTGGTCCTGCTTTTCTGTCTCCAGCTGGTGACACAGTGGTTTATGTGTGAGATAATCATTCAGGGCAGTATAACTCTGAAGCCTCGGTAGTTCAACTGTACCTGGTGATGTGTGGACATGTTGCCATATTACATTTGATTCTGTTCTGTTTTTTAGGTTAGCTACAAAGACACATCACAAAGGGACTGCAGCAGCTTATTAAAGTGAACTGTAGTAAGCTAAAGTGATTTAAGATAGCCTGAACTCTTATAACACGACATATTTGCTAAGCTACCTTTGCTAACGTAGCAAAACAAAGCCCAGATAAAACGTATCTGCAGTTTAGCATAACAACATTAGCTTCGGTTAGCATTAGCTCATACTAACGTGTTCTCGCTATTATTGTTAGCAAACTAGCCTGCTGACGCACAACATCTCTACCTAATAATTCAACTCAACGTACCTCTAAGTGTGTAAATCCGATGTTGGTGTTTGCTTCTTGTTTTAATTCTTAATCCCGCATTCAGAGAACAGAGCTTCTTCCTGTTCAACGTTTGAAATTTTGCGCCGAACGGTTTACGTAATACCACTTTGCGTCATGACGTCACACCACGCCCACCCCAGTTATTTGAGAGACAGCAAGCGCATTTCGTGGCATCTGCAGGCAGTGGCAAGTACTTCCGGCATATGCCACAGAGGCCGCTACTCTGTGGTATCTGTGGCAAGTACTTCCGGCATATGCTACAGATGCCACAATTTGCCGAGGCATCTGCCGCTGCTCAACGGGAGTTGCCACAAGATGCCAGAGTAAGAGAAGGTTTACTGTAGCTGCCACTCGCCTTGCGTGGCAAATGCTGCTATTTAAACCCGTATTTATCGTGTACAATGTCGCTGTTTAGGCATGACTTTATCGAACTCGAGTACAAGACCTGAGTACTTCTACTTGTACACAAGTACAAGATCTGACTACTTCTACATTTACTCAAGAACAAGATCTGAGTAGGCTACTTCTAGTTCTAGTCGTGAGTTATTTCTGAATGACGCAGCCTCTGAATAGAGAGGCGAAGTCTCTCCCTGTCCGGGGGAGCTCCATGGGACCGAACAATTATTAATTGAAGTCAATGGCGAGAGAAACGTTATCTTTCGATCCCGTTTGAATTGTGCCACGAATTACACATATGATGTTTGTCAATTTAAAAGATAACTTTGCAAGTAAAATGACCCCTCACTGTTTATTCATCATTCAATTCAATCTATATTTTATTCTGTAGATTGTGTACATTACTTTTCACTTGTCTCAGTACCTGTAATATATGCAATAACAATAAAGTTGTATCTGAGCAGGATCAAATGTATTTAATTAGTAGGCTACATATCTGACATTAACGATTAAACACATGTGTGCATTCTTTAGAAGAGAGAAACTTGCTCTGTCATACTGAGGAAAATATCACAAACAGAATACAGGATTGCAGGGAATATATTTGCACCTATGGGGCGAGGATAGTCGGGCCTGCTCAGTTTTACGCTGGTACACTGGCTTTAATTGACCTAGTAAGGGGCTCTGATCTGATTAGGCGCATTCACACCGCAGTACTTTTCCCACAAAGGTTCATGAGAACTTAGTTCATGAGAACTCTTTTGTCGCGTTCACACCAAAAAGAGCCGGTACTAAAATTAGTTCATGAGAACCTTTTTACCCCCACGGAAGTCCCTGCTAGAGAGCAGGGTTGCATTCCAATAGTCCATTTAGCTTAGGAACCTTCCTAACGGAGTGAAATGACCCGGAAGTACGTCACTGGCAGCCATGATAAGTGCCATTCCAATTCTCCAAATGAAAGGAAAGGAGGTTTCAAACTTCCTTTATAACCTCCTTTAGCTTAGGAACCACTGGACCTCCCTAACCGAAAGGAGAGGAGGAAATGCTGCCCCACAATGCATTGCAGCTGCAGCATTTGTCATCACTCAACAGTCGGCCATTCACGGAAACAACCGATTATGACCGAGAAATTATATCATGAAAGTTACGGTGCTTATTAAGCATTTTAAAACGTATGTGGTAAGTTGCCAAAGTGCTTTTTTCTGAACGTTCATCAGTATTATAATCAAAAAGAGAAATATGAACGTTAGTTTTTATTGAAATGATCAAATAAAGTCAACATTTCACAGTCTTTACTGAGCGGTGTGGGGTTTGTTCAACTTTTAAAAGATGTTTGAATGGTGATATACACAGAGATAGATGTTAAGGACTAACGTTTATAATAAATACATTTGTATTGATTTTAAGATATTTTCATAGTTCATACAATCATACGTATTGGGATCATTTGTATTAATGTGGACCGGAGGGAGAGGGTGACGAGCATAAGTTTCACTTTCCTTTTTTATTTCAATTCCAACTTTGGTCCTGAAGAATATGTTTCTCTGTTGTCCCCGTTCATAAAGCATAAAGCAACAGCATCAGAGCACAGAGTCTCTAGATGAGTTTAGTCCCTCGTTCTTATTAAACATCCATGTTGTAGTCCGCTGTATAGAAACCTGTAGTTTCCATGGTTACCCCACAGCAGCAGACGCACATTCATGACGTCCGCTGGCGCATCACACGTCAGATAGTGAAAGTGCATTCGGATTCTCTAAAGTACCGCGGTCTCTTCTCCTAAGTCCTTTTGAATTCTCCTATCCACTATCCCTTAACCCCGTGACGTTTCACTCAGAGGTCAAGGAATAGGAGATAGGGTTAGAATTTAGGAGCTGATTTTTGGATTATCGGAACGCAACCCAGGGACTTTCGAGCGGCTCTCTTGTGAGAAAAGAGCTATATTTCGGATTCTTTCACACACAGTGACGTCACAGCTACCCACAATGCAACGCGCGCCATATATTTTTTTATAAAGACGCCATTTTTCTGGAGGTGCAAAAATCCTGGTGATGCTAATGTAAACAGCTAGCTAATGTAGCCAGGCAGAGCGCACTAGGTTTTTTTTTCTGAATTAACGACCGAAGAAATCGCTGCATGTCTTCGGATTACATCTCTGGACTTGAGGGGTGTGCTCTCGGTCGTTACCAGCGTAAACTAGAGCTGTGTGGGTTGTTGGATGTACAATGTATGGAATTACGACCCTCAAAAGTGGCCTTCGGTCGATTTTGGCAGCATCTACGTCTATCTTCTGGAAACACCAGGTGAATACTCCACTTGTCACAATAATATTATCATGCCAATGCATATATGTGGTATTTTAGAGTTGACTATATTGATTAAGGAATAGACTATGATATTCTGTATGCACCTCGCGTGAAATGGTTGATACCGGAAGTACGGTGTCGCCCTCGGCCCAAAACCCGTATGTGTGTGTGAAATAATTGGCTGGGCGGATTGCAAACCACGCCCCGTAAAACTCCCAAAAAGTTTTGTGAAGCCGCCATTTTATTATCCTCGCATTAGCATTATTAGCATTAGCCCAGCGCAGAAACGCAGAGAGACTAATTTATGGCAACACAAAATAAAACATGGGAGTGGTGGAGATGAGGAGGTGTCGGTGTTCTGGCGATTTACTCGGAAGGCTTCAGTAGAAGCTGCTGGGAGTCCCAGCAGCTTCTACTGAAGCCAGTCCCCAACTCCGGGGACTTCCGGCCGGGGACTTTGGGCGGCAGTATACGCCGTGAAGTGGTTTGCGGCCTGCCAGTAAACCCAAAGCAGAAGAAGAAGAAGTGACGTCAGCGGCTTCATTTGCCTAATCCTCCCTCAGGGACTTACGGAGCATCCACACTACAGCTTCAAAAAAAGCTTGGAGCTGGGCGTGTCTGAAGCTTGGGGATGTTATTCAAGCAACACGACCAACAACCAACAACCAATCACATGAATCTCCCGCCCCCGACATACAAAGCAAAAACCCCAGGGGATTTCATGGGAGCAATATATATATAAACTCCCCAAACAGGCGAAAACCTACCAGTTTCACCCACTGTCTCTGCCACCTCCCTCCATGCCTGGTTCCTCCGCTTTGTATCCCGGTAGGTGAAGAGGGTCTGGTCATACAAAACCGGGTGATTCGCTACGGCGATAATTAGTTTCTCCTCCATCTTTTTTTGAAATATAGAAATGAACGGCGGGATATCTCTCCCAGCTTAGACGCGGTTTGATTGGCTACGGCTTGAGCTGTCAGATTTCCGAAACGGGATTGTGCTGGCTACTCCGGCGTCTCCGGCGTCAGAAGTTGAACATTGTTCAAGTTCTGACGCCGGAGACGGACCGCTCTGCTACCCACAATTCAGTTCGGCGAAAAAAAGCGGCAACGCGACGTCACCCCATTCAAAGTGAATGGGCAGATTGAAGCTGTCGACGCTGTCGACGCTGCAGACGCTGTATTGTGGACGGGCCGTTATTCCGGTGTGAACGCGATCTGTACTTAGTTCATGAGAACTAAAGAGTTCTCATGAACTAAGTTCTCATGAACCTTTGTGGGAAAAGTACTGCGGTGTGAATGCGCCTATTGACAGGCTCCGTCCCCCCAGCTGAGATCTTCTCGACCCAGAAGATCCCCAAGGGCGAGAGTGGGGCGAGAACAGTCTCACTTACCCCCAAAACACACCAGGAGCATCTGCGTCGTGTTACGGCCACGCCGCGGCGGTCGTAAGGATCGCGGCCACTCTAGTCAATGGGTGCTATTACACCACACGCGCCGTGTTACGGCTCAGACGCGTCCCAGAAGCGGCTCGGCGCAGCGCTTCTCTAAAATTAGGATGAATCCTATTTTTGCCGCGGCACAGCCGTAACATAAAGTCGGGCAGGCAGCCCCCCCCCTCGCAGGAAGTGGAAAGGTGAGCATCCGGGCCAGGCCCATCCCCCACATATACTAATTTAGCAGACCCCACAACACCTCCACTACGAAACGCACCATGGACGAGGAGGTAATTATGATTATGATGATGAATGCATATTTTTTTACCACTAAAATACAGCAACACATCTTTGATTCATGTCGTTTATAACTGGAATATTACAATTATTCTTAACTGTGTCTACAACACAACAAAATAGGAAATAACAACAATAAACACGATTTACAGACACAAACATAAACCATTTAACTACGTATAGCCTACTTACTTGTAGAAGTACAAATGTCCAGGAAATATTCCAAAATCAACAACAACTGCGAGGCTGCACACAGGACGCTCCGCTTCCGCAACGTTTTGAAACGCGTCTGGTGTGTGTTGTCGCAGGAGGAGGTCGCAGCGTGGCGCAGCCGCAACGTAACGCGGCGCAGACGCTCCTGGTGTGTTTTGGGGGTTAGAGTCCCGCCCCCTCCCGTTCATCTTGTGGTCCACCCATTGGTTGTCCGACTTAGTGCTAGTACTCTGATTGGATGACGTCTCATTCTGCGGGGAGCGTGTTAACTGTAAATGAACAGGCACTGACCGGCTTTTGAAAAGGTAAAATAAACTCTGCTATTACTCTTAACAAGACAGTCCGTTATAACATATAACAGTAGATGAATGCCAATGTGTTGTCTTTTAACGTTCGCGCATTTTTGCATTGGTAAAAAGTTGCCGCTAAGCCAGAAACACACGGGAGTTTTCCAGCCGTTTAAATCCGTAAATACTTCATTTAATGCTTATTACCAG